GAAAGTACCTCGCCATGAACTTCCACATAAGGTCCTTCCAAGATGTGATGGATAATGGAGCTTGGTTATTGAGCCATAGACTAGCTCTTCCACTAATTGAATAGGGAAATAACCTTATACAAAGCTCCTCTTGAGGAACACCATTCACCTTAATCTTGCCTGTGAGTTCCAATAACTTATTGATGTGGTCTCTTGGAGTTTCATGGTCGAGACCAAAGAATTGGATATTGTTTTGGATTATAGAGCCGACGCTTGTCTTAATCTTGAAGTTGTTGGCAACAATGAGAGGATGTCAGATACTCAATTGGATGTCCACAACTATTGGGGTGAAGTAGTACCCAATTTTCTTCACTAATTCCTCCACATTGTTTCCTTGATTCCGAACTTGATTGTGAACTTTATTCCCTTTCGCCATGGCTTCAACTTTCATCTCAACTTCAACTTCTCCTTCTTCTTTCTCTAAGGGTTATAGGTGGTTAACCTCTCCTGAGCTTCCCTTAGTTCTCTCTCCCTTTCAAGATGGCGCAAGGTACGGTTGATGTTGTGGTCGATTGGGTGCAAGTCTCTCGGGTTACTCTGGGTCATACACATGTGTGGTCGTGTCACAACTCAACAAACAAACACACAACACAAAACAAAACTAGAGTAACAAATAGTCCACTTTTCCTAATAACTTGTCATGTCCCCGGAAACTACGCCAAAGACTTGTCTCAATCCTACTGGCACTACTATCCCAACCGTGGCCAAGTGCAACCAAGATCGGGTGCAGTTTAGTGGAAGCAAAGTTTTATTATCAACTCATGCGACAAATGTAATATTACTTCGCAGGATAACCTGTTATCTGGTAAATCGAAGTTTGAATTAACTAACCAATTACAAAAACAAAACAAAGAAAGTTTGGTTGAAAACTATAGTGAGAAAGTTTATTCAAACTCACATTGAACGAACTATTTGAAGGGATAGTTTTCACATAGACGAAAACGAAATAAAACGTCTAGGGTGTGCCAAATAGATTGCCTCTATTGGAATATGATCCAATACGACATTGAAGCTCAATTTCCTGCTCTTTCCATCAACCCACAATCAAAATGAGGTAAGTGCTCTAATTAACCTAATTGAATTTTCTCTACGTTAGGTTCATAGCCATAATATGAATGATTTGATCAATACCCAACACAATTCATAAAATATCTCAAATCTATATATAATCAAAAGTCAATCAATCATTCATCTAATATAACACATACAACTAGAATTTCACAATACCCAAATGATAGATGGTTTAGCTCATGATGAGAGAGAGAAAGAAACCAAATCAAGAGAAGAAAACATCTTAAAGGAGTGTGTCCATGCTCTTGCGGGATTTTTCCAGAAATAGTACCATTAAATTTTTTTTTACAAAAATGTAACACCCCGGTTTTTGGATTAGGGTTCAACCTATAATAAATTCATGAGCTCAAATCAAATATCAACTACTGAAACTCAAACCCAACCCAAAACCCAAACCCGTATATAGGTTGACCGAGTCGAGCTGTGGATAAATGTGGCCATGCTCTTAGAATAAAGGGGTTAACTGAATTGGCCCACACGATTGTCTCTTTTATATGTATAATCATAATACTAATTATGATATTATTATACTAATGGCGTATACGTTAGCTGGAGGAGTACGGTACGAGCATCGCGGGGGACGTCCGCGATCGGATCAGAGCAAGCATCCATTGAGACTTCTAGTTATTGTACTTTATGATTATTAGTAAGACTGGAGATTAAGGTTTGAGTTTGCCCATGTGTTAGGGCGTTGTTTTGAACTACAAGAAAGTGATTTCAGTATTTTGTTTATGAAAATTTTTCCCGCTCTTTTTAGCGACTATGGTTCTTGAGTATTTTCAGTTTAACAAGGGTATTTGAGTAAAAGTAGTACCCGTCCGGGTTAGGGTGTTACATTTTGGTATCAGAATCGGTCTTCCTCTGTTTCTTGGTCTCCAAGGAATACTGGAATATCGATATCAGTTTTTAAAGTCTTTTATTTTTTAAAAGGAAAGGAAAATGAGTCAAGGATCTTCTTTTAAGAGTTTCTAGAATCTCCAGTCTACTCTAATCATATTAAGGTAAATAACTTTATTTCAAATAGAAGAGGTTTCAATCGTAAGAGAATACCTCAAGAATTTGGAAGGAGTTGAAGGAAGAGTACAAGGATTTTACTACTAGGAAACAAGTGGTGAATCTAATAAGCTGAGACAAACCAATGTGAGAAATATGAATCTTCGAAGAAAGAGCTACAATCACCAAACTCTAGTAGTATGATAATGGAAGGATCTCAAGGTCCTTGACCCTAAGCAATAGTAAGGAGGCAATGAGTCAATAAACGAGAAGATACCATAGGGAGCCACTAAACTGATTTTGGTGGGCAATGCTCGCTGTGACAAGGAGCAGTGAGAAGTTTAGACTTTAAGCAATGCTAGGGCAGTATAAAGGAAGCGAAGGAGGAAATAAGCAGGTTATAGGGAGTATGAAAGGACGTCAAGAAGTCAATAAATCAAGGTGGAGAGGAGGCATGATCATTTACATATGACCATAAAGGAACCCTTATACATAAACTGCATCACTAGAGAAGAGGGTACATGACCCTAGGGAGTTAGGCCTACGACAAGCCTTTAGAAGGAGCAAGACAAGCAACAAGATAAAAGATGCAGAGGACAAGTTATGGTCTCAGTACGACCACCATTAGACGAGACATGGAGGGAAGTACGAGAACTCCAAATCCAAGCGGCGGAAAAAGAAGAAAAAAAAATAGGCGCCATTATCTAACAAGTATGCTAAAGGGAAGGTCAGGACTTTTGAAAGAACCATGAAAGTTATCGCAAGTCAGGGGACGATGCAAATAATGAGGACTTCGGTGCTAAGCAACAAGTCTCATGGAGATAACCATTCAGTGGATGGGTTAAGGGCTAAGAAGGAAATATGGTAAGGCACAAACATCCACATAGGAAACCCTATAGGTCAAGTTATATCTGTAAAGAAGAGAATCAACAAATATAGAGAAAAGTCACACAGGAAGGTGGTGCGTAATGGGAGCTAGATTAAATACATATGACTAAAGGATAGTGTCCACGCACGAAGGGGTAATTTGAGCACTTTGTTTCTAAGCAATACTTGGTGGAGGATTTGATTTTTGGGGCAGTGACCGGACGCCATGAGCTATGATAGTGGACCATTTTTGGGGATTTTGAGCAATCTTATAGAATTTGATTCATAGTTTACGGTCAGCCATGAACAACTAGATTCTTGGCATGGAGAGAAAGGTGGACTCATCCATAACGAATTTAGTTTCCCGTTGAAGTCATGAGGTGTACCACGGAATAATGATCCACTCATAATAAGATGACCGATACGGGGACTAAGAGGGGATGATTTGTTAAGTGATATGCAACCTACAGATTATTCGAATTTTTTTTAGGGGGAAGGAAATATAACCTCCCTGCCAAAGCAGTCTTATTCAATTCCAATTTCGGGGACGAAATTTTTGTAAGAGGGGAGGAAATGTAACACCCCGATTTTTGGATTAGGGTTCAACCTATAATAAATTCGTGAGCTCAAATCAAATATCAACTACTGAAACTCAAATCCAACCCAAACCCGTATATAGGTTGACCGAGTTAAGCTGTGGATAAATGTGGCCATGCTCTTGGAATAAAGGGGTTAACTGAATTGGCCCACACGATTGTCACTTTTATATGTATAATAATAATACTAATTATGATATTATTATACTAATGGCATATACGTTAGCTGGAGGAGTACGGTACACGAGCATCGCGGGGGACGTCAGCGATCGGATCAAAGCAAGCATCAGCTGGGACTTCTAGTTATTGTACTTTATGATTAGTAGTACGACTGGAGATTAAGGTCTGAGTTTGCCCATGTGTTAGGGCGTTGCTTTGAACTACAAGAAAGTGATTTCAGTATTTTGTTTATGAAAATTTTTCCCGCACTTTTTAGTGACTATGGTTCTTGAGTATTTTAAGTTTAACAAGGGTATTTTGGTAAAAGTAGCACCCAGTCCACACAAATTCCAGAATTAGCACCTTTTTTTCAAAACCGCACCTCGGCCGTGCGGTTTACATGTAAACCGCATCCTGAGGGAGCGGTTTGCATTTATGGGCCAAAACCGCAGCATGGTGGAGTGGTTATTAGGCTGACATAACAGAACTGTATCTTGGCCATGCGGTTCGTAGGATGATCTAGCAGAACCGCTTGTTGAGGCAGCGGTTCTGTTTCTCCAACACAAAACGCATCCTCAACATGCGATTTTGCCCTTGCCGACACACAAACCGCACCCCCTGCGGTTTGTGTGCCGTCCCCGTTTTCCCGATATCCAGCATGTTGGTCGTGCAGGTTGAAAGACGTGGGGCTGCATGGCATATGAAAACCGCCCCCTCCCCCTGCGGTTTTCAGTGATGATTTTGCCTATAAAAGGCAGCCCCGGGAAACCTCTTCTCTTCACACCTCTCCTTCTTCTTCAATTTTCTGTTGTAGCACCGTTCTTTTTTTTATTGTTTTTGCGATTATCGTTAACTCGTAAGTTTATTTTGTATTCCAAAAGTAGGGTGCTACAGCTCAACTCCCCCATCACATCCCAATTACCAAGAAGGATCTTAAGCCATCCACAACTAATTAAATTGTTGGATTTCTTGGGGAAGAACACTCCTTCGATCATGCCTATGAGATAGACACGAGCATATCTTTCCTTCATCTCCTTTGGACTTTCCTCGGTCAGGGGCACCCCACCGTTTGTAGGATCGTGTTGGTTTTTCATCCACTTCGTCAACCAAGTGATTGATACTTGGTTGGTCCTCAATGGTGCTAAGCGATCCGTCGCATCAACGCTCCCCTTGACTGGCACTCGCACCCCCAAAACACTGTAGATCAGCTGCTGCCAACAAGTCATATCATCTACATCCTCGGGGGGATGATCACTCACACACACCGTTTTGCCATCAATGGGCAGATGGGTTAGGATGGGGACGTCCTTTCGTGTGATGGTGCACTCTCCTTCGCGAAAGTTGAAGGAATGTGTCTCTTTTCGCCATCTCTCCACCAATGCGGTGATGAGTTGACGATCGATTTTTATGCCTGAAAAATGCTTAATCTACTCCAACCGTGCCTTTTTGAGAAAGGGCAAGATAACGTCGTTCCATAGGAGCACATTGGTCGTACCCCTGTAGCGAAGTATTTGGTGTGCCTCCTAGCGAAAATTTTAATGTTATTTATGATATACTAGGAAAAGTTTTTTTGATAACTAAATTAATTAATTTAACTTTGACCATAATTTATTATAATTATATTATTAACAAACAATTTAAAATAATTCAAGCTTTTTCCAAGATATATACATAATTTCATAAAACAAACATACTCAATTAATTAAAATAAATAACATTTTAAATGAATAATAATTTAAAGAGATACATATTCAGATATTTGAAATTAATTCAATTAATTTTGTGCACATACACATAAATCGTACTGGTTGTTTTAAATAATTTAATCGAATACAATGCAACACTCGTTAGACTCTTAGAAGAGGTATACATCTTCTTAGAAACGCAACCTTTTGGACAGAAAAAGGGGGGATCCAAGGGTCGCTTAAAACCCAATTTTCCCAGGGAATGGGAGGATCATGATAATCGCTTAAAATACCATTTCCTTAGACATGCATCTCTTTATAAAGAGTCTAAGTAAGTGGTGCTATCTATTCGATTAAATAATTGAAAACAACCAATACGATTAAAAATGATCAAATTTATTTGATATTCCACTAAGTACATTAGCAAAATAAAAGCAAGAAATGGTGAAGAATTGTATGTACCTCGTGATCGTTCCAAATATCCCTTGAACGATGGTTGCGTTGGTCGTACAACACGGTTGGATCACTAGGTCCTTGATCAACATAATACTGTTGGTTGTATATGTCCACATTGTCCCCAACCTACGAGAGAATAACAACAAGGTTAGTGCATAGATTAATTAAAACGGTTATAACAACAACAAAATTTTGGTAAAATTAGTACGTACCGCTTGAAATTCATCATAATAAACTACCTTTTCTTGGAACCACTCGTCCATTTTTTCACGAAAGTCGGACAGAATTCGACGGGTTTTGAAGGAAAAACCAAAGAAATGTTTTCTGATGACCGATCGGACTTAGCCGCAACCAACAGACCACTATTTCCTAGGCTTTTGGGAGGGGAGGGGGATGGCTAGAGACATAATTTTAGAGAGAGAGAGAGAGAGAGAGAGAAGAATTGGTTGTGGTGTGAAAAATGAAGAGGGGGAGTGAGGTATTTATAGTCTTTAGACCGCACCCTCCAGGGGCGATTTAGTAATTTGATCCTTACCAAAACCACATCTGAAGGGAGCAGTTCACAGAGCCCGAGGCCCAAACAGTTCCTCAAGCGCGCGATCTTCGATGCTTGACGCGGATCGTTGCGGTGGCATGCGGTTGGCCGTTGGATCGCCGCCTAATCTAACGATCATGGGAACCGCTGCGTCGTGCATGGGGACCGCTACATCAGAGGGCGGTTCTCGGGATGCCCTAGCGATGACCGCTTCCTCAGTATGCGGTTTTTGGGTAAACCACACCTGGACCGTGCGGTTTTGAAAATAAGATGCTAGGTTTGGAATTTGTGTGGGCTGGGTGCTATTTTTGTATTTTTTTATATGGTGCTATTATTGGAAAAATCCCTGCTCTTGCACATCAATCTTCAACCATTGGTGATGAATTTGAACTCCAATGGTGATTTAAATCCCTAATTCTCCACATAGGGATCCCTGTTGTTACTTTCTTTCTCTACACAACATATTCACTTTCTCACTCTAGACTCCTTTCTCCAAAATATGATTTATGCTCCTTTATATAGTGAGATTGTGTAAAGTTCATGGTCACCCGTCACGGCCGTGGGGTTTGCAGCGAAACCCGTAAGGTCGACTGAGTTCGCACTATATCACTTACATACTTCACGGTTTTGGTGCAATTCTCACAGTATGCAGCCGTGAGATTTGCATGCGCCCGCGATATGCTAGAGGCCTCCTGGAATTCTGCAATCTTCACGACTTGAGTGTAATTGGCACGGTTGGCAAACCGTGACATCTGCAAATTCCCACGAGATACCTCAACCATCCTAGAACTTGTGCAATCCTCACGGTTTCAATGTGAATTTCTCGGCCTGGCCATGAGAATATGCTAAGACCGTGATCTTTGACATTTTCCTCCTTTTTGTCCTGTTTTGGCTCATTTTGTCTTAATTTCGTTGGTCTTGTCAATTTTGACTTGCTAGGATCTAAAATACACTAAAAAATGCACAACCTAGCGTAAAGTGGCTTCAAGTACGATGAATCTCAAGTCAAACGACCAAGAAAAGGGGGTGTAGAATTAGCCTTGACTCACTCGCCTAGCGTAAAGTGGCATATATTATTCAAACGACACCTTACTACATGTGTCCCTCCCACGGGCCCCGGATAGCATAACAACAGTCCTTATGTTATTAGTATAACAACAAGGGTATAGGGGTAAATTACATAAAATAAATATTTAATTAATAAGTTGTTTTCTTTTACCTGGTATTAAATTTGAAATTCAAAATTAATAATAAAAATACATTGAAGTGCGCGATTCCTGTCATTTCCGTTTTCCGCTTTCCCCTCTGCTCACGAACTGCTCTCCGACGTCTCCTTCGGTTGCTCTCTCCCTGTTCTCGCTAATTTTCCATCTGAATCGAGCGATTCCGTCTGCGGCTTGTGGATTTCCTTCGCGCGATTCCGTTTCCTTCGTCGTTGACATGAATTTCGAGGTATGTCCTCCTTTGGTGATTTCCTCCGCTAAACTGTCTTCTCCTCTGTCGTCAGTTTTGGCTTCCGAAGTCACCGGAGTCGTTTGGCGTCGCCGGAGTTCCACTTGTATGGTGTTAGTTTGGCGTCGCCGGAGTTGCACTTGTATGGTGTTAGCTTGGCGTCGCCGTTGTCGTTTTCATTAGCATTGTCGTTGCTTGATGAGGACATCAATGGGCCAGTCACACGTGCTAAGGCAAGGACATTGAAGGAGAAGCTTGCGACATATTTGGAGAGCTACTTTGGAGCCATGGATGTGGAGCTATTTCGAGGGAAGCCATATATGATGATTCGAGTGGAGGAAGAAGGAGGAAGTGCTGAAGAGAAGGCAGATTGCAAGAAGCAGCCTTAACGGGTTTGCTTAACGGGTCCAGCCTTAACGGGTTTACTTAACGGGTCCAGCCTTAACGGTTTGGGCTTAACGAGTTTGCTGCGCTGTTTCCGAGTTTCCTTGTTTTAAAGTCGGTTTATGATTGTTTTTCCATGTTGGAGTCGGATTTGGGTTGTATTTTGCCTATTTAAAGGGCTGAACACGTTGGTTTTGCCCTTAGACGATTATTATTGAATTTCAGAGGCTAAAGCCGAGTTCCCTACGCGGAATTTGCCCTAATTACTCTGTCGAGAATCTCCAGAGTGCTAGAGCGACTCTTATCAGCTAGGTAATCACCCTGATTGTGGCGAGCTACCCATATCGATTGCCCTTTATTCCGAGTTGAATCTGTCCGATCGATTCATATATCGATTGCCCTTACTCACGGGTGAGTACTGTCCGATCGATTTCCATCCTATCCGGTTCTGTTTGGTTCGAGAAGCTTGACCCTGCGCAACTTTGATTATATCAAGTGGTATCAGAGCTAAGGTTCAAATCAGTGGCGTGTTCTTGAAGTTTTTTTGAAGATCTTGTGTGTTCTTGTTTGTGTTCTTGGTGGTTTTGTGCGAGTTCTTGAAGGTCTTGGCGTGTTCTTGAGCCGCAAGACAGGAGGTTGTTTGTTCTTGAGAGTTCTTGGTGTTTCTTGCGAGGCAAGAAGCAGGTTGTGCGAGTTCTTGTTAAGTTCTTGTGTTCTTGGAATTTTCTTGCCTACCAAACATGGAAGCAGCACTCGAAGCGATCAGAAATCAATTGGAGAACATTGCTCGTGCTCAAGAAGAGCAAACAGCAAGGCTTGCCGAGCAAGCCACGAGGATGGAGGCTGTCGAGACAAGTCTCCAGCAGCCGGTTGTGGTCGACGCAAACCCTAACCCTAGACCTCGACAAGAAGAAAGGGGAAGGGAAAACCGAGCTCCTCCACCCTTGGTTCACGAAGTATAGCGTCATATGCGCCAGCATAGACGCCTTGGAATGCCTCGAGCTGAAAGGAGAGGGCGGCAGCAACATCATGAAGAGGAGTTTAATGACGAGGAAGAAGAGGGCTTTGAGGAGGATGATGATTTGCGAAACCTCAAGGTCACGATTCCACCTTTTCGCGGTACCACGAACCCTGATGCTTATTTGGATTGGGAGCGAAAGATGGAACTAGTGTTTGATTGTCATAACTACTCCGAGAAGAAGAAAGTGACATTGGCTTCCCTAGAGTTCTCGGATTATGCACTTGTTTGGTGGGATCAGTTGGGGACGAAACGAAGGAGAAACAGGCAGCGTCCTATTGAGACGTGGGATGAGATGAAAGGAATTATGAGGGATCGGTTTGTACCGAGTTCCCATTTGCGAGATATGTATCAAAACCTCCAGCTTCTCCGGCAAGGAACTAAAAGCATTGAAGATTATCACAAGGAGTTGGAAGTGTTGATGATACGTGCTGATGTGAGAGAGGACCGCGAGGCTACCATAGCTCGTTTTCTGTATGGTCTCAATCGAGAGATCAAGAACGTGGTGGAGATACAACCGTTCCTTGAACTTGAAGATTTGGTGGATATGGCAAGTAAAGTGGAACGACAACTCCGAAATAGGAGGTTTCAACCCTCCATGAATTCTACACGTTCGAGCCAAGGAGTTGCAACCAAACCTAAGCCGCAACTGCCGGTGAAAGAAGCTCCTAGACCCGCGGCAAGGGCTGATGGTGCAAATCCGGTTATGAAGCAAGGTGGATCGTCGGGGGAAATTCGTTGTTTCAAATGCCATGGAAGAGGACACATTGCGAGCCAGTGTGCCAATAAGAAGACCCTGATCTTGCTTGATAATGGTGAGTATGTATCGGAGGAAGAG